AACCAGTTCTGGCACTGGCGTACTGTCAACACACCTTCTCCTTACACATCAGTCAATTTCTTTCTGGCTTGAACAGCATTTTTACCCTTTCTGTAGTAAAACAGTAAGATATGTCGAAAATGCTGCTTATCGCTCTCCATATTTAAAAGGGCACCAACCAAAAACTACTGCGTAGAATTAATTGGAATTTTTCACACACAAGCCTTGCTATATGAGCTCTCAAAGCATATAAAAATTATACGGCTTAAATGTGAAGTTGGGTGCAAAAGAATACAATTAAATCCTCTGTCGGGAAAAAATGAAATGACTTTCCGAACAACCCTATAGATAATATATTTAGACCAATTGGTTATTGGGTAAAGATCGTGGGCTGATACAACAAATTGATCGAAGTGAATTTCGAAAATTCCGAAATTGCTGAATTTACGAGCTACTTTGATACCAAAGTAAAAAATAGATGGATAAATTTTCAAATCAGTAATTTAATTTGAAGTAACTCGATTTCCAAATAGTCAAGTAACGTTTGTAATGATTCTTTGTTCAGTTGCAAGAGTGATTTAAGACGAGACCTGCTTCATAGTACAAAAGGTAGGATGTAGATGGTAATTTCTTTTGTTGACTAAAGTGACCCTTCGGACGGCCTTTAACGTTAAAAAGCTTTCGATGATAAAAGAAATAATACAATTTAGCGATCAATCATGTGCGAGAACGTTCTACATTTTCCTCAAAAAACTTGCGACTACCTACACCCTTTTAGATTACACCCATTTATCTGGAAAGTACCTTTTATATAATGTTGACATTCCACATTTATGGGATACGTGCTAGTTTATTTACAAATGGGTGCTAGAATTTATTAGAATTAAGAAATTATTGTTAACAATTATGTTTCCGAAAATACTACAAATGGCGCAGTAAACGCCATCTGTAGCACGATGCTACATTTTAGGATTACGTAAGATCGAAATCGCCATCCGCGTCTGGCAGTTTCGACAGAATACAGACCATTTCGAATTATTTTAATTATGTTTCCGTTTGTATGACTTATCGAGCAAGATCTCAGTGTTGCCAGATATTAGGTGTTTATTTTCTGAGTAACAAAATGGGTGGGATAGAGTAGGATTAGTATGTACTTTGAACGTATAGATACCTGCTAACTTGGGGACCAACAACCTACGATTCGCCTCAGTTATGAGGCATCTTGAGAGCTAATCCTATTATCCTCATAATTGAGTTGAAACGTAGGTTGTTGGTCTCGCATAAATAAAAATCTTTGTCTCTTTTGCAGCTTTATTTCTAATTTTATACAATTGTTGGAGCAGAAATGGCAAGAGTATTGAAATAGTTCTGAAGTTTTTGCGGATTTTGAAGCTACTTTGGTAGAAATTACCGCCGGTGGGAAGCGTCTTTAGCCCCTGGTATCTGCAAATTGACCATCGGTCCAATTTAGTAGGTAATACGTTCAAAGTACATACTATCCCACCCATTTTGATACTCAGAAAATAAGTAATGTCTGACGGCTCCGGAGTCTTATCGTTAGACTATTATGACGTTGCGTTGGTATAGATTTTTTGAAACTTGTTAACGTTACATGTATGTTTAATGATAGTTTCGACCGTCAAAATTATGATTACTATCATTTTTTCATACCTCTTTAATATCAAATGTTTGCCTTTAATTGCGGGTTTACTAATGTTTCTATTAAAAGGTCCTTTTTAAACAATAATAGACCCTTATAAGAACAAAGGCTTTCACGGCCGGAATCCATAGTAGAATGAGGATTCGGGCTATAGGGCCGTGGTCTAAGTGAACTATTTTGTCCAGACGTTTCGTCAGCTATACTTCATTTACTTTCTCTAGCTATGTGCCCCTTCCAATGTCTTGGATGCGCGCTGGCAAAATCGTAGGTAGGGAGAAAAAAGCTCATTATACTCTCGACTCTTGTTCATTAAACATACTTTTTCACACAGTACCTGCCAAAAGTTTTGTTCAATCATGAATAGTAGTGCGAGTCGAAAACAAGCGTTAAAGCCTTTAATATGCCTTCAAATATAAATAAACATCTCGTTGATATTTTCAGTAGTAATTATTACCAATAACAGCACATTTGAGCAATGCAATTGTAGTGGATAAAATGGTTAAATTTTCCGTGCGATACTGTACGGATTATACGCTCCTCACTGGTTAAGAGTTTGGTCGAGAGTTGTCTCCTTCCTTTTCTGGCCTAGTGCTGTTCTTTTCTACTTTGCGACGGACGTAGATTATATCTTGAAGTCTCTAAAGCGACTGAGAATGTCAGCCGCAGTAGCTGACAAAACGTCTGATCAGAATAGTTCACTTAAACCACGGCCCTATAGCCCGAATCTTCATTCTGCAATAGACCCTTAGTTAGTGGTAAATCTAAACAGTGGGAATTTGCAGCTCTATTTATAGCTGTTGGTGGCGTGCTGATGAAACTAAAAAATAGTACTATAGATTACTTAATCAGATATTTTTGTAGAAAAATTTACGCTGTACAAAAATAGTATTCTGTCTTCGTTTTGCTTTCTAGCTTAGATTTTCGAAAGTAGATTGAAAAGATGAGTGAATGGGATTCTTTTTTAATATGAAAAGATTAAGAGACGAAGGGTTGATATTGGATTTGTAATAAATTGGATTAAATACGCTTGGTTCATTACTAAACGGTTATTGTATGAGGAGATAAAAGCTTTCAGAGTGTGTGACGCGTTTTCGTAATATAATAATACCACCAGGAAAGCCGTACAGCTGGATCTACGAATTTTAATAGTTGGGACGTACAAAATTGGCATAGTCCGCAATAAAACTGTCGCATTTGCTTTCTTCTGTTAACTTACAGACAAGACAGACGTTGCAGGTAATATCGCAAATATAGAAAAGAGATGCCAGGTAGGAATTGCAGCGGACACTAATAAAGAAAGGAAAATATTACACCAATTCATGTATAATGCAGACAAGCAGCATTTGGGCATGTTGTCAGCACCGGACTTTAAAAGAAGTTCAAGAATTTAGGAAAGTTAAGATCAGGGGCGGATTAAATGTCGAGAGCGCCCTAGGCTAGCGCCTCGTAGACGCCCCTCTGGCTGTCATAAATTTTGCAAAATAATTTTTGGAAGCAGGTACTTTCTTTTATATTTTTTTTAGTTTAAAACTTCCGCCGCGCGCCCATTTCTAACCTTGTGCCCTAGGCAAAAGCAAAGATGCTTAATTAAAGATATAATTCTGACCAGGTAGTTGACCCTCTTTTTTGCGTACCGAAGCAACCTCTCTTTTCACTTTATCTATGCTACTAATAAAGAATTTCTAAACTTAACAAGACCGTGTTCAAAACGCAGCAAATGATTGCAGTCTCAAGCGGAAGCAAGAAAGAAAATACGTCCATTCGCACAGATAATTTATTGCGAACTTTGCCAATTTTGATCGTCCGAACTATAGCCACAAGATGTGCACAAGCGGAAAAGGGAGTGAAAGCGAGTACAGAGTGACCAATATGCTTTTCGGCAGCTTCTCGGGCTATGTTCAGCGAGAGGAACAAATAAACCTGATTTTCATGCCTTTTGTGACATTGGTCATTTTATGTTGTACTGATACTACGCAAGATGTACGTACTCTGTACTACCCTTAAAAATAAAAATTTTCAAAAACATCCGGGTTCCACTTGAAATTACTTGCCGACCGCTGGTCTAAACCTCTAGGCCAGCGGTCGGTAACTAGCGAACCGCGATCCGGGTCCAGACTGCGGGCCTAGTCTGAATCGCAGAAAGTCAAAAATTGGAACGTCAAAAATTTTTGGAAGGCAGGTACAAATTAAAAAATAACGTAACGTGCCTATCACGTTGAGGTTAGTTACTCCGGAATTCGTTTCAGCATACGTAATCCTAAAATGTAGCATCGTACTACAGATGGCGTTTACCGCGCCATTAGTAGTATTTTCTAAAACGCGCTGTTAAGACAGCAGGTAAAAGTTGGTATGTGTTCTGTCAGAGTTGGCTGCGACGCGCTGATGAGATCCGAAAAGATTGAAATCACGATCGGCGTCTGGCAGTTTCGACAGAATACAGACCACTTCGAATTATTTTATCAGGTATAAATTATTTGAATAAATTATTTAAAAAATAGTCTTGTGTAAACTGTAAAATACGTTTGAGTTTTGAGCACAGCCCCTATCAAAGGAGCAAGCTGGCCAGCCGGCACAGCATGTATATAAAGCCACTTACAAGCTCTGTACACCCCAATGTAATATTTTATATTATTTTAATTGGAACAGGCATAATGGGGAATTTTATGAGTGAAAATTGAAATAAAAATTGGTAACGGATATGAGTTTTCTTGGACCCCGATAAAAATCTTTAAAAGAATTCGGACCTCACGAAAAATGACTTGCCAACCCCTGCTGTAGGTTATCAGAGAAAGGGCGAGCAATATGACGTTTGGGTACCTAATGAAGGGCTGTTTAGGGACGTATTAGAAGTTGAAACAGAGGCAGAATGAATCCTGATGGGGTGGGACCAATCAGTCTCTTGGCTGATGACGATGACGTCGAAATTGCTTAATTTTAAATGTTTCACTTAGTTAGTTATATCATTTTAATTTTATCCACTTCGCAAACATTCATTCGACTCCATTTAAACTTTCTGGCAACATTAATTATGTTCAAGTTCATTATTAATAAGCAGAACTTCCTTAAAGAACTTTATTGAAATGTTGGCTACAACTGCCTAGGATTTGTCAATTAACTGCTTGGTAAGTTTCGAAATGTTCATAATTATAATGCTTTTGAAAGCAACAACATTACGTGGCGATATAAATATTTTAGGCTTTTAACTCATCTACATTAATGGAAATGACTATGGAAGTCACTATAAACGGCGCGTAGGCTTTTTCAATTACTCATTTACGCTGTAATATGTACAACCTACAGCCATCCACATTTTTGAATAATAAATCAATCACTAATGTTAATAAATGTTTCTATAACTTACCTCGAGAGGTATCATAATAAATGTCACAATCAGATCTGCAAGAGCTAAGTGTCGTATCATCAAACTGATTCGCGACTTCCGATGTCTGGTTCTCAATAAACTTATAAAAACACTCAAATTTCCGACAGCTGCTATTACAAACAAAACACTGTACACAAGGATCCCCGTCAAAGACGCGGCGTTGAATTTTAAACGCTCAGGAAACGTATCATTATCATCAAAAATCCCTGAACCATTCACACTAACATTAGAAGAACAATTGTGTGGTAGTGGACATAATACATCCATTCCAAGAAGAAGTTGGGGAAGATCTCAGAATTTGAAATTATTTTCAGTCCATGTACTGGGGAGAGGCTCCCTTGTCTGGAAAAGATGTAAATAATTGGTAATACATCTGCTGATTAAGTTAATAAGGAAAATTATACCTAATGCTTTTATGAAATAGAATATTATAGAGAGAGGATTTTTCAAATATTGTTATTCCAAAATTGAAAATAAATCAAACACAGGATATCCATATATTTAAACGGACCTTGTTGGAGCATACCTAATCCTAAAATGTAGCATCGTACTACAGATGGCGTTTACCGCGCCATTAGTAGTATTTTCTAAAACGCGCTGTTAAGACAGCAGGTAAAAGTTGGTATGTGTTCTGTCAGAGTTGGCTGCGACGCGCTGATGAGATCCGAAAAGATTGAAATCACGATCGCGTCTGGCAGTATCGACAGAATACAGACCACTTCGAATTATTTTATTCGATTATGGTGACGTGCCTATCACGTTGAGGTTAGCTACGCGGGATTCGTTTCAACAAGTAGATATCCATATATTTTAATGGACTTTATTGGAGCATACGTAATCCTAAAATGTAGCATCGTACCATAGATGGCGTTTACCGCGCACAGGGTTTAAGGTTTATTGGCTCACACCGTGGTGTCAAGTGTATGTACTTTTCCTTAACTTTTCGTTTTTATGTCATTAATACAGTGAATCTGGTAGATAGGACAGGCATTCTTAACTTTTCAGTCTATGGAAGTCATTCTAATGGGTCCGAAAATAAAAATCGTTGTATCCAACATCTTTTGCAATTTAAAGGGCAATAACAAGTATGTGGGCGTGGTCATATTCACGATATCTCGTAATTGAAAATTGATATCGACTTCACTGAATTACCGATCGAAGCGTATCTAATAACAACAATGTGACCTGAAAGGAATAGAATAACATTTGCTTAAATCATGTTTGTTTAAATAAAAAAAGGCAGATTTGTGGGCGGGTTGTCCGAGGAAACTCCAGGGGTCGCAACTAGCTTCAAATTTTTACTCCTTACATTAAATTATTCAATTGAACATATAGCTTGCATGCGTGAGTGTTAGGTCATGTCGAAACGACCGATTCTTTTAGACATTCGGCTCTGTTATTGTTTAAATTGTTAACGTTGCACAAATATATGCCGTTCAAGACTTTTGACGTGACAACGTCTTATAATTCGATGGAGCCGGCTGCACGCACGAAAAAACATGACTCATGCGGCGTTACCTCGCTCTGAGGCGTTCCATTTAAGGCTTGAAGTGCAAGCGAGACCGCGGAACGAGCAACAAAGAGGCACAATCGGCCTCCGCGTTCAGCAGCGTTCGACATCTATCTCTCTCCTACTTGAGTGAGCGATGCGTCCGCGTGGACAGCTGCTATACAATAATACATTTACATGTTTTCGTCAAGTATAAAGGTAATGATTCTTTCGATATTAAATATATGTTCAGTGATATATTGTCGAATAGAAGCTAGAGTTACAAAAATTTTAATGACGTTTAAAAGTTGTAAATAAAAGTTGTAAAACAATTGCTCAAAGCACATTCATACTTGTAAAAACTATGTACATTGGAAAAAAAATAAATAAAAATTGACATAATTGTATTTATGCGTACAAATAAATGTAACTTGATCAATTCAATCGTGATTTCCATTTACCTCTTTCTCTATATCCATACAAAATATCTATCAAACAAATAAAATTAAAATTTTCTTCTGAAAAATGAAACCATTCCATCAGTATTTTCTTATGACGTTGTCACGTTCAACTATCGTCAGTAAACCGACTTTACGGACAACCGATTTTTTTTTATAGGAAATTTGATAATCTGCAAAATCAATTTGATCCGTTCTTCTCTTTTAGTTCAGTTTAGATTATTATTAGTTTACATTAGTCTGGTTTGGATCTAATAGGTACTCTTTTTAGGACCAGCCGGGTGCCGCATAATGTCGCCGGTATTACACGGTGATGCTGGGTAATTCTATCAGAGAAAAAAGAAAAAAACAAAAAATAGTAATAATTCAATAAGTGTAATAAACGACTTAGCAAATGAAAATTGGTAAATAATATTGTATTGGGAAAGGCCGTTTAACCTAAATTGTATTATTTATTGATTATTATACTAAAATATTTATTATTTTGATATAGTCCTTGAGACTCATTTCAACTCGACCTTCTCCTTGAAAATTCGCCAACCAAGAATTAAAATTTCATTGGTTTAGTGTTTAAACGGGTTTTTCATCTAGACTTGAATATGGTTTTGAGGCATTAGTAAGGGTAGTATTTAAGGGAAAACCCCCCAGAACGGAGACATGAACCATTAACCGTCGTAATATCCGGTGCATCTCTATTTTAGATTATTTATTATTTTATGCTACGCAAGTTGTGAAAGTGCGAAATATTTTCCCCACACCTGAGACTTCTAATACTTCAAAAAATCTACTTACTTTTTTAAATGGTAATAACTGACGTAAAACCAATTTCCGTCATTCTCATTCAGTTAGATGAAAATAGTTACGTGGCTTATGTTTTAGAATGTTTTCGCGAAGTTTGGACATTACGAAAAGTTCTTTGCGCGCCTTCAAGAGAAGCTTTCACACACGAGACGCAGCGGATTGGAACTGGCGTGGAAAACACAGCGAGTGTTTTCCACACAGTTATGCGCAGGATTATCACGACTCTTACAATTTTCCGATTGTGCATGTGGAAATATATCTATAGGCACTTGACGAGAGAATTCTCTTTCTATTCTTAAATGAGTTAATCGGTACATTATACCAGAATTTAATGTTGAACTCCCCAATAAGGAATATTAAATGATTAGGTATTTACAAATTTGGTTCAATATGAACTAGAAGCTTATCCAATTTACATCATCCTCAAACACATCCTCCAGTGGACGTATTTGTAAAATGTTTATGCCTCACAAGTAGCTATAGTAACGATATTGGGTCACTAGATTCTATGCAACCAATTATACATGTGAATAGTAGTTATAATTCACTTTTTTCCAATTGTTCACTTCCTACACGAATACGTAAGAATTGCTAATCTATAATTTTAGATATCGAAAATTGACCTATGACATAATTTGATCATTTAATTAATCGTTTTTGTGATCTGCTAGTTCCATTATGACTAACGAGTAAAAACTTTTTTTTTCTGGTTTTAATTCACAAAAATCTTTTAGACCGCATAATATGGTCGGATGAAAAGATCTTGTTAGATTCTAATGTAGAATGGTCAATACATTGAAACGTTAGATTCTGGTAGTTCTAGATATGTAAATAAAAAATCTCAATGGGCGGTAAGTCGGATAGATAAACTAATCTTTTTGAAATCATCACTATAAGTTTGGACACGTACCTCCACTCTTTCCTATCCTGAAGTAATCTTCGCATTTCCCTAAAATTAGAACATCCCACATCCTTAACTATTTGTGAACAATAATCTAATATGAGTCTATCTCTACCCCTCCTAAATCCTGTTTATGCTTCTAATATGTCTCTGACTAGACCTTCATGCCTAAGAAGGTGTCCTACCAACCTATCTCGCCTATTTATTGACTTCCATAGAGTCCTCTGTTCTCCTATTCTTTCTAATAACATTATATTTCTAACATTCTGTATCCACGGTATTCTCATCATTCGCCTGTACACCACATTTCGAATACTTCTAACCTTATTTTCATACAGTACTGTTTTGTCAATACCACTTCCATTGTATTTATAGGGTTGTTCGGAAAGTCATTTCGTTTTTTCCCGACAGAGGATTTAATTGTATTCTTTTGCACCCAACTTCACATTTAAGCCGTATAATTTTTATATGCTTTGAGAGCTCATATAGCAAGGCTTGTGTGTGAAAAATTCCAATTAATTCTACGCAGTAGTTTTTGGTTGGTGCCCTTTTAAATATGGAGAGCGATAAGCAGCATTTTCGACATATCTTACTGTTTTACTACAGAAAGGGTAAAAATGCTGTTCAAGCCAGAAAGAAATTGACTGATGTGTAAGGAGAAGGTGTGTTGACAGTACGCCAGTGCCAGAACTGGTTCGCTAAATTTCGATCCGGCAATTTTGATGTCGAAGTTGCACCACGTTCGGGAAGGCCGGTTGAAGCTGATAAAGACGCGATAAAGGCATTAGTTGATGTGAACCGGCGAATAACAACACGTGAGATCGGATTGAGGTTAAATTTATCAAATTCAACAGTTTATGACCACTTGAAAGGCCTGGGATTATCCTCGAAGCTCGATGTAGTATGGGTTCCCCATGTTCTCAACAGAGAGAAATCTGTGTCGCTGCATTGACGTCTGCGATTCGCTCTCAAACGTCACGAAAATGATCCGTTTTTGAAGCGCATCACCACTGGGGACGAAAAATGGGTTGTATACAACAACGTCAAACGCAAGAGGTCATAGAGCTAAAAAGGTGAACCGGCTCAAACCATTTCCAAAGCCGATATTCACCAAAAAAAGGTGATGCTGTCTGTTTGATGGGATTTTAAAGGAATCGTTTTTTTTTTTTTGAGCTTTTACCGGATAACACAACGATTAATTCGGAAGTCTACTGTCATCAGCTGGACAAACTAAATGATGCACTTCAACAGAAAAGGTCAGAACAGAAAGGTGTAGTGTTTCACCAGGACAACGCGAGACCTCACACAAGTTTGGTCACTCGCCAAAAGCTTTTACAGCTTGAATGGGATACAATGCTACACCCACCATATTCTCCAGACTTGGCACCATCGGATTATTATTTGTTCCGGTCACTCCAAAATTTTTTAGACGGTATAACCTTCACCTCAAATGAGGAGGTCAAAAACCTCCTCGATCAGTTTTTTGCCAACAAAGACCAAAAATTTTATGAGCGTGGAATAATGCTACTACCAGAAAGATGGCAAAAGGTGTTGGACCAGAACGGTCAATATATAATTTAATAAAGTATTTGTTTATTATACGAAAACTGTCTTTCATTTCCACAAAAAAAAACGAAATGACTTTCCGAACAACCCTATAAAACTAACTATCTCTAACTCTTCCTTACTAGATACTAATGCTGCTATATCATCTGCAAATCTGAGCATACTAATCTTTACTAATAGTTGTGCTGTCTTTAATTATGTTGGTCGCGTGTTTCATGTATAGATTAAAAAATATCGGTGACAGTGTGCATCTTTATCTGACTCCTTTCCTAATATTTCCTTCTCTACGTTACTTTTAATAGTGACCAAAATACTATCGAAATATATTCCGCTGAATTTTATTAAGATTTTTTTGATTTTTTTATTCACTATAAATTAGCTCAAATTAATGAGGATAAGTTTTTGTTGCTGCTGTCACACCCTCGGGACCTTATGCACCAATTATATTTAAACTATTGTTAATGTTATAAAAGTATTGTAAAGTTATCACTCAGGTTGCGGTTGTGATTAAATAAATGTTTCATCTTTATTTTTGTTCATCTGTTCGTTAGATATCGTCTTTTCTCTGTTTATAAAACTGGTTGCCGTTTTATCTTATTACGTTAATAAAAAATTGTGCGAGTAGGTACCTAATTTGAACTTTTAATATAAATTGCTTCTTCGTATAAAAACTGTCTTGAATACCTTAAAATCTTGATTGTACTGTAAAAACTTTTATGAGATATGGAATTTCAATGCGATCCGTTTAATTTAAATTCCGCAGAAAGAAAATACATTTTACTTAGTTAGTAAAAAGAAGTAAATGGTAAGTTCATTCTTACATTTAAAAGCAAGTATAATAAATATTCCAAACAATCACAAATACACATTTACTTGTTAATTAAATTGAAGTAGTAAATAGGATTTATTCATTCTAAAACGAATTTCTGTTGAATACGTCCAGGTAAGAGCAATTTTAAATTTTATTTCCAGAAATTTTTCTTGGATGTGAAATAGCATTGAGAAATTCCGTAACGATATCTTAAGAAAGGTTTAGAAAAATATCCCTGTAATTGTTTTCGCATTTTTAGAAAGCACTAAAAACAATTACAAAATACCTTGGAAATTAAAAGCTGGATGATTCTTTAAAAGCAACAAAAATATATAGGAGCGTGGTGTCTTTGCACTTTTTGTTTCCATTGTTTTCATGCTAGATATTTAAAAAATTTCTATTGTACAAAGCATTCATGCTCTAGAAACACAACTCCAGGAAAATTCGCGGAACATACCAGAAATTTTTGTTGCAAACTCTTAACCGTTTTCATTGTAATTATAAATGTTCAGTGAAATGTCTTACAACAAAGAACGTGGAAAGAAGTCTATTATGCGATATAAAGAGTGCCTAGCGCTTAGAAATCAGTTAATTTGGAAATTCAAAGAGGATTATTAAAAGTGTGTCTTTGGGACACTATTTTGCACTGTTATAAAACGTGTAAATGAAGACATACTGAGCTAGTTTTTCACTTATGAGAACAGATATAATGAAAATTAAAATCCTAAGCGTCGTATTATTTAAGAATTTTCACTGCTAATTTGCATCATACTCCGTATTCGACAACAGCGAAGCTGTTACAAGACTGCCACCAACCCTTAACAGACTAGCGACCGCGACCCAAACCAAGTTGGTCTTGCTCTTGATCCCGAGCCATAAAGGGGAATCGGTTTATAGACGGTATTACAGAAGCAGGCGCTCGGCAACGCTTTGTTGGACCAGAAGACGCTTTTGGCATTTGCGACAGCCTCATTAAACAAAAAGTGGTACGGGGGCTGCGAATTCCAACCAGACAAAGGTCTTCACCTCTTCTAGGAACTGAAGATACTGGAACGAACGAATTTTCGGCTTCGGCAGGAAGAAAGCCAATCCTTACAGGTCATGTAGAAATGCAATACCGCACAGGAGTACACTGAGACTAACTACCAGTTCTTCTTGTCGCTTTTGTGATATGGTTGTGGAAAGTACTATCCATATCCTGTCACGCTTTTGAAGCGAAAAATGTATTACCGTCGGTCACCCTTAGTTGATATTCTTCTTAAGGGAACATTCCTTTAGAGTATATGTGGAATGGGTAATTGAAAGTGGAATGCCAAACGTTTAGCCATGCTTTCAGAGATCTAAACAGGCCCAAACCTAAACAATAATATTGGTAGTAGCATCTTTCTCATTTTATGGCAACTGAAATTGTACTAGGCCCTTCGGAAAATTCTAGTGTACACATTTCCTGCTTCAGTTCAGTTTTTTCTAACAGTATATTTTTTGGACAGCGGTTTTGTCCATGACTACCTGAGAGGGACATTGAGCAGACATGCCATATTAATCATCATCATAATAAGGTCGTCAGTCTTGGGTCTGATTGGACACGCACTTCCACTCTTTCCTATCCTGAACTAAACTTGAACATCCCACATCCTTAACTATTTGTAAACAGTAATGTAATCTAAGTGTACATCTACTCCTCTTTGGTATTCATCAATAAATAATTTTCTTTCAGTAAAAAAGTACATAATATCTAGATCTACTGACTTTTGCTATCATATTTCAAAGAAATAAGAACATGTAAAATGAATAAGTGGAAGATATAAAGAAGTGGAAGATATAAAGAAGAAAAGTTATTAGCAGACTCTTTTTTGTTTTATTCTAGGGACTCTTACTAGAAAATCAGACCTTTAGGTAACTGATCCAGGGGGTAGTTTGAATATTATTGATGAAAAGGGAGGTACAAAAGTAATATTGGATTGTCTGACCATAAGTAATGGTATTGCATGAAGTAAATACAAAATGAGATTTTTTATAATGATAGTGGTGAAATGTTTGACTGTGAAATTAAGAAGGGATCATGTGTAAGCTTTATTGAAAATGCTTCTAGAGAATCTTATTTTTTTTTTTAATTTTACTGATAAATAATTTTATTGTTCTGGGTAATCCGAGAAAATTTTTCCAATTAGCTGATTGCTCAGATATCTCGCCATCCGGACTACTCCTATTAACTCCTGTTTCTGCTTCTAATATGTGACTAACCCTTGATGTCATATTATAAGTATTTACCTAATTATTTGTGAAACTTCAATTATATAATTCCGCAATCTTAAAATAGGTTTTCATTAACGAAAAGTTTGTGAAATTAATATGACGCCTTTACAGTCTTTTTCAGAATATTTTTTTTTATGTCGGTTCTTTAAAGTTTACTGCTACTCTTATTAGACTGATAGAGTGAGACGTGCTTTTATAGAAACCAATGTGGAGGAACGACGAAGATAAAAGAGTAATTTTCTGCTTTTCCCTTCGAGCTTAGCATTTTACGGTATTCGAACTTACAAGTTTCGTTTCGTGAAAGCCGAGAAATACGGGTAGCTATTTTAAGGGTTTTGCTTTCTTCGAAAAATTAAGCTACTTTAGAAACTATTGGTAGTCTAATTAATGTTTAAAAATTCGATAACGGAGTTCGTGAAATATTTTAAATGTTTAGATTAATTAGACTTGCTTTTAACCGATAAAAGTACAAAACCATTAACCCTCGCCTGTTACAAAATATTGTAATGTTCGTGGGTTTAATAAAATTAACTTTTAAGACTACTAACAACAAAACTATTTATTTACACTAATTATTAAGGAACTTAAAGCACTTAAATTATTACTAAACTTAGGTGATGAATTACTCTATTTATTTACACTACTATTGATATATCACTATCCACTGCGCTATTTATTTCACTGCTATCACGATCAATTTATTTTTTCCTCTGTCGGCGATCGCCTCTTACTTTAAATACTCTTTCGTTTACTTTCTGGAACCTTCTGGAAACATCCGGATAGTTTATTTTTTTCTTTGAACTGTTTAACTGCTTTCCTAGAACGCAGGTACGACACACTTACAAATACGGCTCACATAAAGAAAGGCGCCCGCGGCTATTCGGCGAATCGATAAGCCGTTCACGCACACGTGTGCCCGATCACACACAAACACACTCGTGCACGTTAAATTATTATATATCTAACAATAAGTACATAACTATTTACATGTAGAAAATACTCATCTACATATCTAGAGATGTGCAAAATGGTTTTTTAAAAATATTTAAATACAAAATGCAAATACTTTTTTGATTGTTATTTCAAATGTAAAATACATAATAGGTTTCCCTTATGTATTTTATATGCTAAATGCAAAATACGTATTTTCAAATAGTTTTTTGTAGTACCTATTTAATTTTTACATTCACTTAAGTAGAAAATGTTTTTTAAGAAAACCTTGCAGGCATTTTCTCATTTTTTAAATATTGGNCAACTACAAATCCCATTCCGAATTTGGTTTCATGTTTTAGTAACTGTCTTAATTTAATTGTAAGTACATTAAGTAACAAATTATAACATAAACATTATTTTAATCACAATTCTTGTGGTCACTTAATTATACAGAAAAAATAGAAGTTATCACATTATACAAACAATCGATAAGGGTATCCCATGATTCAATCAATGACATAAATTGTGTCAAACATATGCCCGAGCTATTAGGTATGTACATTTAAAATAGTAACAACTTATTGTAAATATTAATAAAATCAGGGGTTTCTTTGGTTATGGGAGTGAGTTGAAAATTTGGGCAAAATTCTAAGCATTGAAACAACTGGTGCTTCAAACGTTATAGAAATTACGAAAGCCAATGAAAACGAGGCTACCACTTGACCTATGTAGATTGCAATCATCACGGCTTTTCCTAAATGTAGAGGATGGTCCATGGTCATCGCCATTGTCCGTATGATAATGGGATGTAGTAGATATGTACAGTATGTCACTCTGCTGAGAGGGTATAGAATACTCGCTGACAAAATTGAATTGACATAACCTAAAGGAAACAAACAATTATGATTCCAGCAAGAAGATTAAAAATAGGAATAGAAGTAGGAATTATCGATATTCATCGATGGTGAATAAACATCGATGTTTAGCTGGAAAACATCGATGTTTTGATTTTATTTTTTACCGAAAACATTAATGTTTTTAGTCATATCGATGTTGTTTAATCGATATTTATCGTACATCGATCTAATCTCGATCATCCCTAAGTAAAAGCTAAATGTACGGTGATTGACAACTGATTATACCGACATTAAAGCGCGATTAATAAATTATAAACTCTTAAAATCCTACAAACGGCGCGGTAAACGCCATCTATAGTACAGTGCTACATTTAGTGGAATCCAATATGGCGAACAAGATCTATTTACGTAGGTGGATGTATACCTGTTGAACTGAATCCATATCTGACACGCACATTACTAAATGGAAGAATGAAGTTTAAGGTCTTGATGGTCACTACTCTATCGAAACTGCCAGACGTAGATTGCGATTTCGATCTGATTGGACCACTTCAGCTCGTCAGAAGACAAACAAACTCTACCTATTACCTTGGCTCAACGTTTCATAAACTCCTGTAAACGGCGCGGTAAGCGCCATCTGTAGCACAATGCTACATTCCTATTTAAGACTTTAAATGAAACTCTTTTGAATAATTCAAAAGCTAAACTGGGCAAACTGAACAGACTTAATTAAGTTAAATTGATACTTTTTTGTTTAAAACGTTTTTGCTGTTTTTTCGTAAGATATTGAGAAAGTTATTCTCTAATTCTTTTTATAATTTATTTTCCCGCTACAGAGATTATCTTTTAATAGCTTGAAGCACTTTGCTTTATTGGTGCGTGAATCGCCTAGGATTTTACAAAACGCTTTCTAAAAGAACTTCCGATTAGTAAAAAATTGATTTCCTTTCTTCTTCAGGTAATGCAAATAAGGTCGGATTAATTTCTAAGTATTCTAGAAAATTTATTTAATAAGGATTTTTTGGGACACGATATAATTAGATTTGAACTCCGTTTTTCGCCTGCTTGACATTTTCTTTAAGGAACTCTAAATTCTAACATTTTCCTTCTTTTTACTTTGCACATTTTCTCCTTCGTATTTAGTCCTTTTCTACAATATTCCCCGCTGATATCTGGCAATATCTGACCGATGAAATAAGCGTAGGTAGAATGTTATGAGCAAAAGTACCTCCATATCCTGTTGTACATGCAATAACGATCCAGGCGAGTCCAAGAGCCCACGCTGTATGACTTAATGCACTGTAAGCGGCTGCCGCTGCTGGTGTCAGATCCACTTCATAGAGACCATACACTAAAGACACTAGACATGCCGTAGAAACCAGCCACCCGACACTAACTGCCAACTAGAAGGAATTTAATTAGCACCTAAATTTTGGTGTGTGGTCGAAATTCAACTAATTTTCTTTCAAATCGCGTAATAATACATTTCATACTTAATACAAATGTACCAACCTCAAGTTTGGAATTTTAAAACAATTGCAACATAAAATTGTTACATTCGGAACAATGCGTTTGGGTTTGGGATCGATTCCCGGTCAAGGCGCTACCTTTTTTAATTATTATAGTCAACTAAAATAGTCCTTAAAATAATTATATGTCTATGGTGGGTCAACCACAACAAATAGATTTAAAAAGAAAATGTATTTTTGACTGTACTCTTCGAAAATGTCATTAGTCATTTAATTAAATTAGCAAAATGTACCTTTTGAGTCAATTTCAAGAGTTTCGTTTAATCCCGTTATTACATTCAAATTACAGTTAGTCCCTTCATACAGAACTCAATTTTATACGATAGCATGCGCATGCATGTGCTGATCGAAGCAATACATTAATTTGCAAAAACACATTCAAACTGAATTAAGATCAAATGGCCCATTTAATTGAAACGGGCGAAAATTACGTAGAGGTAATTCAGAATTTCATAGACCTTAGTCTTAGGCTTCGCAATGTCTCAAATAAACACTATAACAATTTATACGCAGCTCCAAACCTGCTTATACAGCGAGGCCTCTGATTAACAGCAATCAACGTAATGTAATGTACTATGTTCTTAAGGTTTGCCTATCTATCGTGTAATTGACGATTCATTAGATTTTGAATTGGCTATAACTCACTTTTGTCATTCGGATTTTGCAATCTGTCTTGAATAAAATCCAACCGACGCACATTCCAACGAGATACGGTCCTAAACGTGTCCAAGGCTTATCATAGATTTTATCGAAATGAGCCAAAGGGTCGTCGGTGCCTGGAATGTGCTTATTAGTGTATGCAATATAGCCGGTCGTGGTCCAGGAACTGAGCATAAATACAACTAGCAATATTGAGGCGCTCTTGAAATGGCTGCAACAAACATTAAATAATTATTACGGAGGCTGTAGATTTATAATCAAAACTCAATCCATTTTAATTGTGAACGCTATGATTAGGATAAAAATTGTGTCTACAAGTCTACGATCAAATCCAAAAATATTAAAGCTAATTGAAAGGTTATAGATTCATAATCAAAACTGAATCCATTTTAATCGTAAGCGTTAAGATCAGGATAAAAATTTTGTCTACAAATCCAAAATCAAACCCAATAATACAGGGGCTTATTTGCAAGACTATTGCTTAGGCTATAGGCTCTTAATCAAAACTGAGTCCATTTTAATTGTGAACGCTATGATTAGGATAGAAATTGTGTCTACAAGTCTACGATCAAATCCAAAACATATTAAAGCTGTTTGTCACTAGATTGTGTCTGCAAATGTAAGACTAATTCAAATGTTTTAAGGATAATTATCAAATTTAGAGATTCACATCAAAACCATCACTACATAGTATCAAACAAAGTTGCTTTCCCGCTGTCTGTCCCTATGTTTTTTTAAATCATTAAAACTACAAAACGGATTTTGATGTGGTTTTTTCAAAAAGATGGTGTGATTCAAAAAGAAGGTTTATATGTATAATACATGCATAATATAGTAGGGCAACACTGATAATTTTAGAGGTTTGTAATGTGATGTCGTAAATAAACACATTTTTTGCGCTTACATTGCAAACGCTGGCTGAACCCTACGAGATAGATCAAAATAATGTACTACAATATTGTACATCTTAAAAGGGTCTACAAAAAAGTCCGCGATTTATTTACGAAGCGATCGTAGGCAATACAGCGTTTATTCTTTTCCAATTAAGTACCTTAAATACATTGTGCATTTTTTTAATAGATCAATATGGCCCTTTGCAGCATGTAATTTAAATGAATATTTTCGAAGATATTACAGATTTAAAATGCAGGGACATAGCGGTTGCGGCGGTACCGGCCGGGAGCCCGGTTTGTATTGTCTAATGACAAAAAAAAATGTGAATGTTGTATATAAAGACATTCTGTAGTAGATTTAGTATGTTCAGGGAGTATCTTTTGAGGATTTCCCCTTTCCGATAATAATCTAAACAAAACAAAAATATATTTAGTATCAGCATTGCACCCGTGCGAAGCTGGGGCGGGTCACTAGTTATAAATAATTGCGACTATTAAGGTTAAATCCAAATTGTCTACCTGCTTGCCAGAATGAGTATCACTGCTCCCACGATATAAAACTGTGTGTCATCTGAAATGTACCAACTCCACAGCATGCACTGAAAGCAAATAAGTAAATTGTGTTTCATAAAATTGGCAAATTCAGCTTCACTTTACCATTTGTTCGGTTGGGAATAAAGTGTTTATGTAGAGGATGTTTCTCCACCAATATTTTGGGCAATTTTCGTGATCCAAAGCCGCCGGTTCGAAGATAGAATTGTAATGAAACCATTTCATGCACACCTCTACAACTCCCAGAACAAATAAATACGGAGCACTTAATCTAGAAAAGAGAAATGAATGTTAAGACGATGTAGATAATAAATTTTCAGTAGCAATTTTTGATTTAATTACTAATGGCTCATATAGTTTCAAAGCTCTGACATAAGTATAATTGGAAAATTTTCCTTTCTTTGTAAAGAACAAAAAGGTCTGTATAAATTTATTGTTGAGTCAGTTGTCCTTTTTCGTAAGTACCTCGCAAATCTGTACACAATCAGGCCGACGAATCTTATAAGCCCTTTCGTTAGTCCCTTGTATTTTATGTAGGGCGATTCCAACTTCCCTTTGGCGTTACTTCTGAAGTACAGGAATGAAACTAATAAACCGCTTGTAAAGAAGAAGGTGTCCACGCTAAACGCTCCATTCGATATGGTTTGAAAAAGAAACTCCTTTTGAACGATTTTTCGATATTCCATATTATCTGGAACACATTAACTCGAGTAGTAAGTTTGTAAACCAACTTTTACGGAAATGTGTAAATGACAGCTTCGGTAAAGACTCGAGAATTTGTAAGCTTTAAAGTAATTGAAAATTTTTCTTACTACAAATAGCGTAGTGAATGCCATTTGCTACATTTTGCGAGATTGAAAAATAATCAATCAGGTCTATAAGGATATCGACTTCTGGAACTGGCTACATGTCATACCTACCCCTACATAATAGACGCCTAATCGAACAGAACAAAAAGTTCATGGTAGTCATAAACCATCAGTCTATGTTTGTTACGTTAGGGGTAGCTAAGGCGTGGTTCTGTTCAATAAGAATCTTACAAAATGTAACAATTTTCTAGAGATGGCGTTCACTACGACGCTTGTAGTAATTGATCAAACGCAGTCTAAAGGTAGCAGGTCAATATTCTGGCGGAACTGTCAATGATGTGCTGACGAGATCCAGTGGGATCAACCTTTGACGTTTTAGACAGAGTACTAACCACCATGAAGTTTCTATTTGGGTCATGAACGTAAAGCGATGGTCGCAATAAAAAAACATTCCATCCATAATCAAAATGAAAATGAATCGAGTATTTTACGACATACTGAAGTGTGTTTATTTTTAATGATTGTTGTCTACCTGAGAACTTAAAAGCTATGATGCAGGTGTGTCCAAGTATTACCCAAGCCATGCTGATTGATTTTAATCCATGGATGACTGCTATTGTGTCGCTACCAACACGTTGGTCACATATTGACTTTATATTTGTTCTTAAGGAAAACGATAATATTATCTTTTTCGCCAACCAAACTGAAAATTATAACAATTAAAAATAAGTTAACATTATTTATTATCCTAAAAGATTTTCTAATTCAATATTCTACTTCAAAACTTTAAGTTTTCGTTGTGAATTGAACTAGATTGTATATCTTTGATAAGAACGTAGAAATCGATACGGTATAGGAGAATCAATTATCGAAGGTCCCAGATATAATTCAAAGTGCAACCTAAGCGAAGAAAATATTCACAGAAACATTGCGAAGTCTGGAAGAAGGTGATCGTAAATTGGAAGAGAAATTGGGAAATGTCGCGAAAATCAGTTTTTCATTTGATTGCTAAAGAATAACAGCAACAACAACTATACCCACTTCAAATTTTAAATTAATGATCTTCGATTGCGTTTCCAATTAACTATTGACAAAACAAAAAGGGGTAATTATCCAGAATTGAGGGTCCAGACCAAAAGCGCTCCAAACATTTTTTTTATTAATTTCCGGTCATTCCGCACAGTAGAATTAGATATTAGAAGGTGGGGGAGACAGTTTTTTATGGCTTCATAAAAAATTTTTTTTTTGAATGATAATTTTTTAAAATTCAAATTACAGTTCTAAACTGTAGGAACGGGAAGAGATTGATGAGGAGATCAGAGGCGGATGGGGGGTGATATATGCTGTATTAAAAAAATGTGTGGGGGGTGATATATGCTCTATTAAAAAAATGTGTCTCCCCTCATTAACCTTCATCAATGGCCACAAATCGTTTTTTAAAAAAAAGTTTTTAAACAATATTGGTCTGGATCCCCAATTCTATAGAAAGGCAATTTTTGAATTAATATCACCCACATGCCGATAACCTCAAATTAATGAAGAAAAATTGTTGCTTTTGTTCCTTCCCTTGCCGGGAATCGAACCCTCCCTTGGTACGTACTTACGACACTCTACCGTCAGTGTTGCTGCTGTCCCCTCCTTGTAGCTTAGTGGTAGAGTACCTACTGGTGCCTGAAACTAGGAGCCCGGGTTCGATTCCCGGCAAGGGAGTGACAGCAGAAACAATTTTTCATCCTTAATTTGAGGTTATCTGTAGTGAGCTAAATGTATTTAAAAATTAATTCACTAATACATTGAATTAGCGCTATAGAAATTCAAAGTATTTCATTTCAGTGAGAATATGAATTCAACTTTTGTTTCAAAATGCGAAAAACTGAGAATTTTCCGACTTGTCCCAAAATGCAACAGATATTCATTTTCCAATTTTAGATTGCCTTCTTGTAGACATCCCAATCTCTACGTGGATTATTTTTCGTTTTGAGGTTGTAGTTTGTTTGAGCGTAAAACCTAAATTCTGCTACGTTAAAACCATAACGCGTTACTCTGCGAGATAAAATATTTTTAAATTACCTCAAAAATGAGGCACTTTTCTCCCTTGTTTGGGTACTTACAAGGAAACGTGTCTCTTTCAACTGCCGTCTATCAAAGGGAGCAATCTTTTTTGGAGAAATTGGCACTCTAAAAATAGCTCTTATCGCTTAAAAGGTGTAAGGTGGAAAATTAATATTCAAAGTGCGATATGTAATGTGTAGATTCAGACCTTCAAATGAACTTTGAAAGCCCAAGATGTTATAGAATCATTTAGCTTTTTAAAGAAAATTGTCTTTGTAGACCCGTTAGGCACAGACAACATGATTAAATACCGATTATGTATAAATAAGCCAGGAAATAGAGAGCTTTCAAAATGCGATAATTAATAACGGGAAATAAACTATGCAGGGTTGTTGAAAACGATCCAGGGAACATAATGTACTAAATTATAGCACCCAGTTATTTGTCAGAACAAAATGGCGTCTAAAAAAACACTAGAAAATAAAAAAGAAATCGGTTTTTCGATCTATGTCGAAAAATATGGATTAATTTGGATTGACTACAATACAGTAATTGTAGAAAATTAAAATATCTTTAATATGGACTGTAAGCGTACTTGATTCGAGATTTTTTGGCCACGAAAAATACAAAAAACCGAAAAAGTAATGTTTTTTTTTTTTTAGTACATTATATGTATTTACTAAATTGTGTAGCTAATTTGATATATTAAAGGGATGAATGAAGTTTAAGAAAGACGACATTACCTAGCAAAAATAGTAACCATGACTGACATACTTCGCCGAACAAAGTAATTTGCCCTAAGCTTTTTTATTATTATTGGCTTTTCTAATTAATGTCCTTCTTATTTTACTTCCCTCGACTATATTCGTAATTCCTTGTTAACTGTATTATAGGTAAAAAATATTTTGTATTTAATCAATTTAAGTTAAGTATTAACTAAAGAACATATACGAATTATCCAATAAATTATCAAGATTTGAAGACATTCGACTTCTTTGGCGGCGCGGACTAGTGATTCTCGGGGAATCCCCGCTTTCTTTTTCTTGAACGACGTTCATGCGTGTACCTAATATACTTAATGTTGATATGTTTTCTGTTTATCTAACATAACAAGGAATATGTTAATTACGTATGGCAATATTCAGATCCTTACCGAAAAATCCTTTTCGGGTGAACGTTTTGGGCTTAACGTTTTCGATTCCTGTGTCTTGTGAAGGGGATGCAAAATTATCACTTTCGGTATTTCCAAGCGAGTCTTTTCCTAAAAAGCAGGATCAAAGCAATATTAGAAGAGTAAGTGGGTAGTACATCTAATTAACCAGTGCTCATTCGTACACGAACTGAAAGTTTTGAATCGAAATCCAAGATACAGTACACACATAGCTACATTTATTATATAAATATATTAAAAAAATAATAATGTCACACGTGCGTCAATTTTAATCGGGAAAAAATTTTTTCTCGGATATTATTTTTCGGTTTTCGCTTCTATTTTGTCATTTTCAATAAAAGAGTCAGTCATGTGGTAAATATACTTTACCCCATGTCGGTCACAACCAATTTCTACTTTAGTTTTTCAATCTTTTATAAAATACATTTTGTAAAGAGTGGAAATAGTTACCACCCTCCCAGTAAACATATTTTTTTGTCAAATATTAATGTGAAAATTCATTTTCCATTTTACCAAATATAAATTATCTCAAGTTAATGAAAAAAAAATATGTTACTGTTGTGTCACACCCTCGCCGAGAATCGAACTCGGGACCTTTAGTTTAACGTGTCAATGCTCTAACCACTAAGCCACGAGAGACGACAGCAACAACGACAAAGCGTACTCAAAGGGTACAGATCTGTCGCCAAAAGTCCCGGGTTCAATTCCCGGCGAGGATGTAACAGCAGCAACAAATTTTTTCTCATTAACTTTTAGGTAATTTATAGTTGGTAATATGGAAATTGAATTTTTACATTAATATTCGATATATTAACCACTATTAAATATCAAAGTGTTATATATATTTTTGTTTTTTGCTAGTTGAGTAGAACAAATGATAACAGGCCGATAAATTTTAGAGAATTCGAAATTGCTCTCAGTTTTTACAGAACATGATCTCCACGAGCTTTTTCTTTTAAAATAAGTTTTGAGAATGTGTTATCGCGTTTTCTCATTGTTTATATTTATGTTTGTCAATTCGTATCTATTAAAATTTCATCTTATTGTTAGTCCGATTCGAAATTTTATGTGCCCAGAGGGGTCTGGTGTCAGTCGTGATAAATATTGAAGCCTTTCATTGTTTTGACGTGACAACGTCTTATAATTCGATGGAGCCGGCTGCACGCACGAAAAAACATGACTCATGCGGCGTTACCTCGCTCTGAGGCGTTCCATTTAAGGCTTGAAGTGCAAGTGAGAGCGCGGAACGAGCGACAAAGAGGCACAATCGGCCTCCGCGTTCGGCAGCGTTCGACATTTGTCTCTCTCCTACTCGAGTGAGCGATGCGTCCGCGTGGACAGCTGCTATACAATAATACATTTCCATTTACCTCCTTCTCTATATCCATACAAAATATCTATCAAACAAATAAAATTAAAATTTTCTTTTGAAAAATGAAACCATTCCATCAGTATTTTCTTATGACGTTGTCACGTTCAACTATCGTCAGTAAACCGACTTTACAGACAACCGATTTTTTATTTCTGTAGATCTCATATTCACTTCTATAGATATTTTCTCGTAAATTGCACCCTGCTAAATTCTAAGATTACATTTAGTCCGCGTCGGGAATGTACTTACTTCCAATTTTTTCCTCCGTCAAGCCGATGTCAAGCTTCGTTGTTACCTCTGATACGTTATTATTATTATTATTGAAAGGAATACATGTAGGGTGTAGGGAGTTGAGCTTTTGTTTTTCTTTTTGGATCCTAACGTCGTACAATGTTCCACAAATTACCATCATTATCACCAAAGAAGTCACAATGCTGAAAATAAGAGGTAATGACCGTTTCATTGAATAATCCTTCACGTACTGAGGTTTCTATAAATATGTATGTAACTTCAGTGGGTTCATCCCGTATACTATTCAATGTTCTTTTCGACGATTCGCAATTTTTACGAAAATGGATAAATCTAATTTTTGTCTTGGTTTACTTTATTCAATTTGAACCTTACAACATTGTGCGAGAGTACAGGGACGTAGCCAGCTCTTTTTTTTAGTGGGGAAAGGGTGGGTCACCCTCAAAGCGCCTCGAGTTCCGTGCACGAAACGTAAGTAATTTAGGAATCATATTCTGGATAATGTAATAGATATATATTTCTTCATCATTCGATAAAAATAAATCAATAATTTTGCATCAGGAAAAATATTTCAGGTTACGTCAAGTTAAATATTACATGGTGGATAAGCGCATGTGCCAGAACTTTGAATCGATAATGGGACCTACCCAAAGCTGCTTACGTCCCTTTGAGGGTTGTATTGAAAGTAATGCAACCATAAGTTTTCTATTAGGTTAGGTTAGGTTTTTCTATTAGGCATGTAATTAATAGCATCGTCTCATTCCGTGCGTTTTGTTACAGAAAATGTTTCTCTGGAAAGACTTCAGTGAATTTGAACATAAAGGAAAGAGTTCCCACTAAATTATTGAAACCTGAGAGTTGCACAAACCCATCTGCATCGGGCATAAGAAAGGTATGTAAACTAAATTATTATATTGATATGTTTTATTAATTATTGAGTGCCACGAAAAATACAAAAAACCGAAAAAGTAATGTTTTTTTTTTTTTAGTACATTATATGTATTTACTAAATTGTGTAGCTAATTTGATATATTAAAGGGATGAATGAAGTTTAAGAAAGACGACATTACCTAGCAAAAATAGTAACCATGACTGACATACTTCGCCGAACAAAGTAATTTGCCCTAAGCTTTTTTATTATTATTGGCTTTTCTAATTAATGTCCTTCTTATTTTACTTCCCTCGACTATATTCGTAATTCCTTGTTAACTGTATTATAGGTAAAAAATATTTTGTATTTAATCAATTTAAGTTAAGTATTAACTAAAGAACATATACGAATTATCCAATAAATTATCAAGATTTGAAGACATTCGACTTCTTTGGCGGCGCGGACTAGTGATTCTCGGGGAATCCCCGCTTTCTTTTTCTTGAACGACGTTCATGCGTGTACCTAATATACTTAATGTTGATATGTTTTCTGTTTATCTAACATAACAAGGAATATGTTAATTACGTATGGCAATATTCAGATCCTTACCGAAAAATCCTTTTCGGGTGAACGTTTTGGGCTTAACGTTTTCGATTCCTGTGTCTTGTGAAGGGGATGCAAAATTATCACTTTCGGTATTTCCAAGCGAGTCTTTTCCTAAAAAGCAGGATCAAAGCAATATTAGAAGAGTAAGTGGGTAGTACATCTAATTAACCAGTGCTCATTCGTANATCGCATGGCTAGCCTAAACACTGCCGTTGACTTGAAAAATAAGATATGAAATATGATAAATGTGCCCTCATTAAATGCTAGGACTAATAGAAAAATGATTTACATAAAACGAGTAGGCATCAGATCAAAAAATACAATATATCAAAATATTACTTATGTAATTGAAATATGAAAAACATAGTGTTCGAAAACAACGCACGACCGCGATGTGACGCTTCAGACAACTGAGCGGGACGCGAAATGTAATGCTTGGTTATGATCAGATGACACAGTTCATACACTGTCGAAGAGTTTTCGATAGTTAGTCTACCTACCGCTATAGTCAACTATCCCCGGTCTCCCCTACATTACATTTCGTCCTACAGTTTGTATTATGGTTGCTGCTAATGTAAACAAAAGGCTTTCACTCCCTTCTTTATTGAATGTTTATTGACTCTTATACATAATTTATTAAACAGTAGTCAAAAGGAGTAGAGGGAGACCTAGGTTAGATTACTGTTTACAGATAGTTAAGGGTGGGGGATGTTCTAGTGTAAGGGAAATGCAAAGAAAAGCTTAGGATAGGAAGGAATACAGGTACGTGTCCAACCAGTCTTAAGACAACCTCGATAAGTTGTTCTTTCTTAAATTTATTATTTTGCCACATTTATTCTCTATAGCGTGACCGCCCATTTCCTTCACTGAAAACAATATACCTAGTCACAAAAATAGCTTATAACTCCTAACGCCCAACTAAATCGCAAGTAGGCTATTGCTTCTTAAGTTTTATTTTGCTATTTGTTGTTTAAGTTTAAATTAAATAAATTAAAACTAAATTGACTTATAATATAAAAATCGACTGAATATTGTACACACATTGTGATATACATATTTCTTTATGCCCACACGTTTTATTGACGTGACAACGTCTTATAATTCGATGGAGCCGGTTGCATGCACGAAAAAACATGACTCGTGCGGCGTTACCTCGCTCTGAGGCGTTCCATTTAAGGCTTGAAGAGCAAGCGAGAGCGCTGAACGNCTTTATTTCTATTTTGCATTTCTTTCTGTGCAACAGTTGTAATTTACTTAGGACTAGGTTTAGGTAGAAAAAAATATAATATTGCGGTTGTAAAAGGAAACTGAAAGTTATAAATACCAGAGAATAATAAATGTTGTATCTTGCCATACGTTGAAATCGTGATGTTGAGATCGGATACTTTCGACATTCAATGTGGCCTTTTTAAAACCTCTTGCAGTTTCTTCCAAAATAAAGTGGATATCTTTCTGTTTACATGTAAATGGTAAACACATCCCAAAATGCAGAAGTTTACCCTGTAAATGCAACTTTTAATTCACCTCCGTTCGAAGGCTTTACGAACAAACAACTTTAATTAAAGATTTAAAATACTATAGACAGTAGACAAGAAGCCTTTACGTTTTTCAAAAATTAAAAAGAGATTTGATTAGTTTAAAGTTGTTTACTGGTTTGTAAGTTAACTTTTAAAAGTATTATAAAAAGTTTAGTTTCTTGAAGCATATAGTTCTTGATTAAGGAAAGAAATATTTGCTCATCATAGTTGAATGATTAATCTTCTCGTATAACTTTTATTCTGTAATTTAACTTTTACCTGTTCTGTCAAGTTTGATTTTAAACGGATTCTTAAAACATTAAACGAAACAGGAAAAGGCGCAGGATCGTCGTCTAATGATCCTGGACCATAACCTTCCGCTTGGCTAGGACTTATAGGGGTGGTAGAGGCTGAACGTTCATTCCTAGACGTATTTGTCACCTGTAAGAGATAATTTTGTAAAGAAAAAGTGTTACAGGAAAACAAGAGGATAGTTCTAATTATAAAATGTGATTTTTGATAGTTCTTGAATTGCAATGGATATTTTTCAAACAGTTACGAAATTGTTTTAACCTTTACTTAAGATTATTCAGTATATCAAGTACATATCACATGATTTGCAAATGTAGATTGTATTCTAATCAGTTCTATGTTCACATCATCATCATCATCATAACGTCATCAGTCCTAAGACTGGTTGGACACGTACCTCCACTGTTTCCTATCCTGAGCTAAACTTCGCATTTCCCTAAAACTAGAATAGCCTACATCCTTAACTATTTGCAAACAGTAATCTAATCTAGGTCTACCTCTACCCCTCCTAACTCCTGTTTCTGCCTCTAATATGTCTCTGACTAGACCTTCATGCCTGAGAAGGTGTCCTACCAACCTATCTCGCTTATTTTTTATTGTCTTCCATAGAGTCCTCTATTCTCCTATTCTTTCTAATACCTCTTCATTTCTAACCTTTTCTACCCACGATATCCTCATCATCCGCCTATAACACCACATTTCGAACGCTTCTAACCTTTTATTTTCCGCCGCTCCCACTGTCCATGTTTCGCACCCGTACAACGCCGTGCTCCAAACATACACTTTTAACAACCTTTTAAAATTTCTACTGGTTTATCCTATGTATAGTTTGAGGCAAGAGATAGAGATAGATTATCATTCTTATTTCTTATTAATTGTCTAAATAATGATTAATTTTATGTTAAGAATAGTGTTCGCAGTACCTAAACCTACTTTCAACTTTACGAGGGTGTTTTGTCATTCTCCCAACATACTTTTAATTAAAATTTGTTCCTAGGACGTCCCCAGCATCCAAACAAAAATAACCAATGAACCATTTGTGAATGGTTTTGTATATTTGTCAATAATTTAAAAAATCTTAAATGAATGAAGAAGCCTAATTGGACCACTAAAAGCTGTTGCTTCCCTAAAATTTACTTCATGCGTAATAATATTTAGTCCTTCAAACTTTGGAGTAGGTAGTAATAAATAATTTTGTTGATGAAAATACTGAAATTTTCCAGAGCGTATTGATTACTCTGTTATATCATAAAGACGGGATGTAATAAGATTGTTAATGACTTACCTGCCTTTTAACCCTAATGGATTTTTTTGACGGGTTAATTGTCTCACAGAGACCCTTAGAACCTGTCCAAAAGTGATTTCCCCAAAACCACCCCGTTGAATATCTTCCACTAGCATCATCCACTAAAAAAGAAAAAAAAATTAGAAGTCACCCTCAACGTTTATTTATAATTATTAATCAAAAGAGAAGATACGTAATACCTTTAAGACAAATTAAAATGTTTTTATTATTTTTGTTGCTTGTTAAGTACGACCGTTCCAATTATGAAAATTGATTGGAATAGAATCCAATAAAGAAATTATGTTAGAATAACATTACCAAATATTAGATATAAGTAGATACAAAAAATTATATATTTGAAAACGCTTTTACGAGTAGGTACTTTTGTATATCGAAGACTCGATAAACATTTTCAAGGCAGGTCATCTTTAGGGATTGATGTACCGGGGCAAAAATGTTTAGACGTAAGCGCTGTACGGGTGCGAAACAAGGACGGCGAGTGCTGCGAAAAGAATAGGAGAACAGAGGGCGCATTATCTTCTCAGGCACGAAGGGCTAATTAGAGACATATTAGAAGCAGAAACAGGAATTAAGAGGAGTAGATGTAGACCTACGTAGACTAAATTAGAGTTCAGCGGGGTGTCCTAGTTTTAAGGCAATACGAAGATCAGGGTAGGAAGGAATGCAGGTGCGTGTCCAGCCAGTCACAGATTAACGACCCTTTGATAATGATGACGCTGATGACGACAACTTTAGGATTAGACGTACAGGAATAAACGATTAGCATACTTAGATTTGCAGATGGTAGATATATCAATATTAGTATGTTACTGATCTTTTTGCTAAGGCAACATAACCAAAAAGGGTGGTAACTAACCTAACCTTAAAGGATATTCAAAGGCGATTATCCCCAGAAATGAGGGAAATTACCTAGATATACCTAATTTGTTATAAAAATTACACATTGGCGAAGCTGTGCTTAAAAGTTTCGTATAATTCGCTTAATGGATTCATACGTGCGTTCTAAGCATATTTAATATGATGTCGTCAATATTAAATGGTCTGGCTAAATTTCAGTTTGCTGAAAAATCCTTTTAAACATCAACCAAGCCTTAACTAAAATCCATCCAATTTAAAAATTCCCTTTGTAGCATCGCAAATTCTACGGAATTAAATGCACGCTTTTGTAAAGAGAAGTTCCGGTACGTAGTGAAATTATTTAGCATGGTGCAATAAACAACAACGTGAAATAGAAATGGGAAACTATAGATCAGAAAAGCAGGTTTTCACTTGATGGTTTTCCTGTATCGTACACTATAAGCAATAAAAATTATGAGAACTATCCCTTATAAATGTGCCAAGTTTATTAGATGAAAATAGTAAGATTGCACATTATATATGTTATATGTTTCAAAACACTCTGAAGCACCAAAGTAAAAAATTGTTTGCGCTGTCACCCTTGCCGGGAATCGAACCCGGGCTCTGGCTTCTTGCTACTGTAAGCTATCGTAGCTTAAGAGTACTAGTACATAAGTGCAACAGCGGCCGGGTTCTATTCTCGGCGAGGGTGTAACAGCAGCAACATACCTTGATATAACTTTTAGTGAAGAGAAATTCTATTTAATAAAATTTTAAATAATTATTAATCAATTATTATTGACAATATGATGGAGGACAATTCATATTTGACGTTAAGTAAACAAACAGTTTGTCAATAATTTTATTTCTCCGTGAATATACTACTTATGTGATGTTGAATTATATGCAAATTTAATTTCTTGATTCACAATGAAAACATTCATTTCTGCACGTCTGCAAATTTAATATGTTTTGTGTCAAGGATTTCATTAGGTAAAATTGTGTTTAAAAATTATACAAACTTATACAAAGTCGCACAATGTTGGTAATTCTATTTAATTAAGGTATTCCGACAGGGTTGTGAATGGTAAAATTAGCAACTAAACAAAAATTATATTTAATTTAACTAATTTCTACAAGNTTAGTGCAGGCGCGAACTATATATATATATATAATACAATATATAATTCAATCTGCGTCAATAGTAGAAATGTTTGGGTAAATATTTCATAGTTTTAAATTGATAATTCAAAATTGGGGTGTTTTTGGACTGTATACTCGAACTACCTGAGCTGTAAACAGGAATGAAAGGGAGGCTTTGTCGATATTCAATTTTGGCAGCTTATTTTTATTTTCCTTTTTATAAAAGACTTGTATAGCACCAAATGTAAAGTAGGAAAGTTAGTTTTTCCTATTATCGGAAAATGTCGCAAATGGAGAAATACGAGTCTTTATAGCAGGCTAACTGTTGACATTCAAATAGATTGAGTTAGAGGAAAGTACAACTTAGAAACACTTAACTGTAATTACTAATTACGTAGATACCGTGCATAACAATTGAATGTGTCACTTGTACAGTGGCGTCGCAAACATCTGACGCACGAACAAGGAAAATTATAGACTGAAAAGTATAATAGGAATTCATATGTACAGTCTATTTCAATTTGTTAGAATTGTGACCTAGAAGAAATCTGCGCGAAGATATAAAGAATACACACTAGGCGTGAGCAAGACAGAAATAGTTGGAACAAGCTTGAACGAGCAGAGCTCTCGATGGACGGTCTTAGAAGATCGGTTAGAACTGTACAGTACTAGACGAAAATGTTTAGCAATTTCGTAAAACAAAAATGTATATAAATTAACAATAGAAAACAAAGCAAAAGTTTTATAGGTGTGTAGAACGTTAAGTTAATTCACTTACGATTATTTTTGGCTAAATATGCTTTTAAATAAAGCAAATTTTTAAATTTTAACGAGGTAGTTTAAATAATTTTGCAAATGGTTGTGTACACTTTTGTCTATTTCTCCCTCGATGATTGGTGGAGAAATGAGCTCCGCAGACAAATATGAATGATTGAATTTGGAATTATGCTATTCTCTGATGAAACACTAAAAGCGAGGATTCTACATACAAAAGCTCAAAATAATCTAATATGCGTTTTGAAAACGATGATACATAATTACTCTCTTATTCATTTTTTATTTCTATGCAACAAGGATACGAACCGCTACTGAATCTTTGTCTTAACAGAGATATTCTAGGTGCATGTGAGATTAAATTTATGTACATTTTGAGTGGTGCCATCTTTTCATTTGCGACGCTTGGGTTAAAGGAATAATTTTGCAGATAGTCCTTTAATTAGTTTCGAAATGTGTTCGATGCTACACGTTACATACTAATATACATACACAAATATTTAACTTTGCCTATTCTCGACATGTTACCACCGTTCTCATGATAAATGCCAATTAAAATTTGAATTCGCTTTTCTCTGCAAAAGAACTAATGACCACTTTTACTAATTCATCATTTTAATTTGTCAATTATAATTTAATTTAAATTGGCTTATAATTAAAAGTTGTCTGCCACACGGGTGGCCCAGGTTCGATTCTCAATAGATGCAATGTTTTTTGACGTGACAACGTCTTATAATTCGATGGAGCCGGCTGCACGCACGAAAAAACGTGACTCATGCGGCGTTACCTCGCTCTGAGGCGTTCCATTTAAGGCTTGAAGTGCAAGCGAGAGCGCGGAACGAGCGACAAAGAGGCACAATCGGCCTCCGCGTTCGGCAGCGTTCGACATCTGTCTCTCTC